AGATAATATTCTGCAGCTTCATAAAATGGTTTTAAGAAAGATATATCAGTCCAGGCTCGGTGGCTCACGCCTGTAATCCTAGCACTCTGGGAGGCCGAGGTGGGAGGATCGCTCAAGGTTAGGAGTTCAAAACCAGCCTGAGCAAGAGCGAGATCCCGTCTCTACTAAAAATAGAAAGAAATTAATTTGTCAACTAAAAAAATAAAATAATTATATATATACATATATATAAATATAAATTAGCCAGGCATGGTGGACATGCCTATAGTCCCAGCTACTCAGGAGACTGAGGCAGTAGGATTGCTTGAGCCCAGGAGTTTGAGGTTGCTGTGAGCTAGGCTGATTCCACGGCACTCTAGCCCAGACAACAGAGTGAGACTCTGTCTTAAAAAAAAAGAAAGAAAGAAAGAAAGATATATCAGTTGTGTTTTAGGTAATATATTAACCTTGGTTGAATACTTCATGCACCTGAACATAAAAAATAAAATAAAAAATTATTGGCTCAGGGCCAGGCGCAGTGGCTCACACCTGTAGTCCTAGCATTCTGGGAGGCCGAGGCGGGCGGATCGCTCAAGGTCAGCAGTTCAAAACCAGCCTGAGCAAGAGCAAGACCCTGTCTCTACTAAAAAAAATAGAAAGAAGGCCGGGCGCTGTGGCTCACGCCTGTAATCCTAGCTCTTGGGAGGCCGAGGCGGGCGGATTGCTCAAGGTCAGGAGTTCAAAACCAGCCTGAGCAAGAGCGAGACCCCGTCTCTACTATAAATAGAAAGAAATCAATTGGCCAACTGATATATATATAAAAAATTAGCCGGGCATGGTGGCGCATGCCTGTAGTCCCAGCTACCAGGGAGGCTGAGGCAGAAGGATCGCTCGAGCCCAGGAGTTTGAGGTTGCTGTGAGCTAGGCTGACGCCACGGCACTCACTCTAGCCTGGGCAACAAAGCGAGACTCTGTCTCAAAAAAAAAAAAAAAAAATAGAAAGAAATTAATTGGCCAACTAAAAATATATAGAAAAAGTTAGCTGGGCATGGTGGCACATGCCTGTATTCCTAGCTACTCGGGAGGCTGAGGAAGGAGGATTGCTTGAGCCCAGGAGTTTGAGGTTGCTGTGAGCTAGGCTGATGCCATGACACTCTAGCCCAGGCAACAAAGCGAGACAAAAAAAAAAAAAAATTATTAGCTTGGATGTGGAATAGTTGAGTGATTTACTTTCTTTATTAAGTATGCATTTTATTTAGCTAATAAAGAAACTGCTATTAGATAAAGCCTAATTGAGTAAGCCTAATTGAGCCTAATATGAGTAAGGAAAATGACCTGAAACCTTAAGTGTCTTATTTGGAAATGAATTATGCCATGATAGTAAATTTAAATATGCTCTGACAATTTTCATAATTATGTTGGAGAAATAAGGCAATTTAGAATTGTCAGACAACCTTTTCATCTTGTCCAGTATCAAGTTCAAGGTCTTTATTTGACTGCATCATTGTTGTTTGAAAAATATAGAGTGGAACAGTCTAAGTTAGGTTTGCCCACATGAGTGGTTTAAATTACATCCTTTTCTGAATTCAAGATGCCCTTCTCTTTAGCTCTTACCCTCTATCAATGCACATGCCACTGGACTGCTCTAATATAAGCACAAGTGTAGAATAGCACTACTCTTTGAAAGTGACTTTGCTAATTAAATTAAAATGCCAATTTGATGCTTTGTTTTTAAAGTTCAAAAAATAAACTCAAAGTTTTAAGTGCTCTGGAAAATGATAGTAGATTGAGCATCTGTATTTACTTTTCCTCTGTCCCCAAACCACTCTAAAACAATAAATAGTAAATTGACTTTATACACACACACACACACACACACACACACACACACACACACACACTCATACACCCTCAAGAATAAATAGAATGGGAGAGGTAAAAACTGCAACAAAACATTTTAAGCTGAAACTCCAGTGGGTGAAAGCTAATTAATTAAGGAGATATAGAAAAGCATAATTCTGAGATGGGAAGCAGATAATTCTATGGGTCCCAATTTATGTTATAGAACCTCCAAAGAGTTCAGCCAGTGGCAGCACCAAGGTGAGGAGAAGGTCAAGCTAGAATCAGGAGTTGAAAGTCTGTCTAAGAAGCAGATTCCCAAATTTCCCACATCTGAGCAACTTATACCTGCCCTCCTCCCTCTAGTAAAACTGGAAGTTATTCTCTGGGGAGGGAAAAACACTCTTTAGGCTGGAGAATTCGCACACAGTTGAAAACATTTACATAATGTACATGAGCACTCACTCTCCTGATCCCACAAACCTCCTTCCTCTTAGCTCCAGAGTTCTGGCAGTCAGGCTTTGACCCCCCAGGAAAGAGACTAGAAGATTCTTTTGGGGGGAATCTTCCCAGCCACATAGGAAAGAGCTAAAGGCTCCTGCAATGAAACAGCTGAGTGGGGGCATCCGATAAGATAAAGCCTACGGTAGGTAAGCCCCAGCTACTCACCAGAGGTCCCAGTCAGGTCTTGGTGCTCCAGTCTTAAATGTGAACAGATAACCAAGGATCCAGATTCCTACAGAACACTTATTATTTCAATGTTCTGATTGGATTTGAACTTCATTTAAAGAGTATATAGATATGTAACTAGTCTGATCAGCTGCTAATATATTTTGATATCCCTTTATTTTTATACCTAAGAACCAGTTCACTTTTTCTCCATGTTCCATATTTATCTTTGGTAACATTTTGCCATGTTCTTCCTCATCTGTTTCTGAAGCATTAGTGTTTCCACCTGCTTGGTGTAAGTTGGCTCTTTTAGTTTTCTTCCTCTGGTTATATTTTGTAGGACTCTTCTGTTTTTTTCTAAATTCCACTGCTCACATCCCACAACATTATCTTCCCATCATTTCTGACAGAAAATAGACCTGGGATACCCCCAAAGTGTGGCCCTTAAATGCCAGTTCCTGTTCATACCTGACTCCCACTATGAAACATTTTAACATGAAAGATAGCAACCCAAACAAATAGCAAAAAACGAACCTCCAAGAAGCAGAAAGTTGTAGTAAGAAGAATGTTTCAGGCACATCAGAAAGGCTTTTATAATCTTAGTGAGATAAGAAATTGCATTACTCTTCAGGTCGTATATGGTGAAAAAATAAAAAATAAAAAAAAAAAAAGAGAAAAAAAAAGAAATTGCATTACATTCAGGATGATGCTATTAAGGAAAAAAAGAAAAAGAATAGAAAAGAGCACGTGAGGCTCATGCCTCTAATCCTAGCACTCTGGGAGGCCAAGGCAGGAGGATCGTTCAAGGTCAGGAGTTCAAAACCAGCAAGAATGAGACCCCTTCTCTACCTAAAATAGAAAGAAATTAATTGGCCAACTAAAAATATATAGAAAAAATTAGCCAGGTATGGTGGTGCATGCCTGTAGTCCCAACTACTCTGGAGGCTGAGGCAGGAGGATTGCATGAGCCCAGGAGTCTGAGGTTGCTGTGAGCTAGGCTGACACCATGGCACTCTAGCCTAGGCAACAGAGTGAGATTCTGTCTCAAAAAAGGTGGGGAGGAGGTTAAAAAAAGAAAAGAGCACTTAAAAATAAAAAAATAATAGAAGTGAAAACTCTTTAGAAGGGCTGAAAGGTAAAGGAAATATCTTTTTTAAAGAAGATAGAAAATAGGAAAGATAAGAAAATTAGAGGACCAGTCCAGGAGGTCCAACACTGAAAAATAGGGGTTCCAAATAAAGCAGAGGTTCCAAAAGAAAGCAGAGGGCATGGAGGGGAAGAAATAATGACCTAATGCAAGAAAATACCAAAGAACTTAAGGATATTAGTTTCTAGCTCGAAAGGGCCGAGGATTCAGCATAAAGGATGAAAACAGATTTACATAAAGGCACATGAAATTCACAAACTTAGGCCAAAGAGAAACAACAACAACAAAACAGGATCAATAATCAATATACTTCAAGCTTTGACAGCAACACTGTAAACTAGAAGACAGTAAAGTAGTTCTTAAAAGTTCTGAAGAAAAAGTATTTCCAACATAGTATTCCACATCAAGACTAGCTATAAATCAAGTGTAAGGGGAGAATAAAGACATTCTTATACATGCAAGCTTTCAAAATATTTATCTCCCTTGCTCTCCTTTTAAAAGATGATGAGAGGGTATGCTCCACCAAAAACAAGAGAGTTATATAAGAAAAAGGAAAGTATGGGATATAGAATGAGGTTCAGCAGGAGAAAGGCAGACGCACCTGCAGGATGACCATGAAAGGCGATCCCAGGACACCAGCTCCGGAGCAGTGTAGGCCCACCAGCCCTGCTTGGAGCAGGCCAGTGGACTCCGGAAGGTACTCCTCAAGAAGATAAAATTGATATATCTGTGTAGCTGAGAGTCTGGAGTTGAATAGAGGACTAAAAAAAGACCACATGTTGGGAAGGAAAAGTAAACATAGCTCTTTAGCTCAGTTGTGAATATCATTTACGTAATGTAAATGTGAATATTGCACTACATAAAATTGCAACATAAGGATATCAGAAGGATTAGGGACAGGATGTCTGTGGTGTAAGGTCAGAATTGTGAAAGAGAACTTAATCCTCATCTTCTATGGGAAATTTACAGAAAATGCCTAAAAATGAAAAATCAAGATATAATAATATGAGCATCCCTCAATGTCAAAAGATTAGCTGAAAGAATTGAATGTGGCTGTCTTAGGGGACAGGGGTAGGTGGCAGGGATGGGCTGCCAATAATAAACTATTTCTTCTTGAAATTACATTCATGTATAACTTTAGTAAAAATAAAAATATGTATTTAAAAAATAAAGTTACTATGCTTAATATAGTATTTTATCAATTCTAAGATGTTCAGTTCTTTCACATTTTTATAATATCACTGCAATTAATGCATCTTAAAAATTATGCTGTCTTAGATATAATGAATTTGATCAGGATTTTTATATTGAATCTTATTTGTGGGTGGCATGAGTGTAATATCTTTTTGTTTGTTTGTTTGTTTAGATTGCAGGCCTAAGTCTACCTCTTCCTCCCAAAAAGTTGATTGGTAACATGGATCGTGAGTTCATAGCTGAGCGGCAGAAAGGTCTTCAGAATTATCTCAGTGTTATCACCACAAATCATATTTTGTCTAATTGTGAGCTGGTTAAGAAGTTTTTAGATCCAAACAACTATTCTGCAAACTACACTGGTAAGCAAAGAGATCTTTGAGCTGTGGTCACATGGCTAAAGAGGCACCACACTGCTGACAGCATGTGGGAGAAACTCTACTTCCAGATGGGGAAATTTGTTATAGGGCATTATCTATTTACTAAGACTTACTTAAATGCAGTTTATTATAGATGTATAAGAAGAAAATAATTTACTTCCAAAATGTTTGTAATGTCTGCACAGAAAAATGTGGAAGAGAAACTATTATGTCTGTGTACTTACAGTCTTGCCTTTATTATCTCCCCTGACAGAAGAGAGAGTAAATAATCCACAATAATGTATACAGTGATCCCAATTTGATTTGTATTTGTCTCTGTTTTTGTATATATAATATGTAGTGTGTCTGGTTTTCCTGGGAATTTAAACACAACACTGATTCAGAAGGGTCCTTTCTGTGTCTTCCCATTTGCCCCTGAGTGCAATGTATAGGAGGTAGTTCTCTTCCAGATCTTTCCAGAATCAGGGCAGCTGGCAAGGGCTCAGGTGGAAAGGACTTCTCTTCCAATACAGATCACACACAAAGCTGGCATCAAAACCTAAGCCTGATGTCAGCAGAATGAGAAACTAAATATTTAATACACTCTGGTGTGGCTTTGAAGAAACCAATAGAAACTTGTAGAACGGAACCAATGACTAGCATTTAACTGATTTGTTAAAAGCCAAACCAGGCTTTAGAGGCTTTGTAAGTGGAACTCTGGGTATTGTTAACTTCCTTGCTGAGAGGATAGATTGTATCAGATAATTGAGTTCTCAAGACATTGCCTTTGAAGTAATTAGGGGGAGGCACTTTTTATTCTGGCTTCAGAGAGGGGGAAATAGAGGCCTACTTGTCAGGCACCAAACTTTTCTGCATAGTAGAAAAACCTGGGGAGCTTTAAAAAATCCTAATGCCCGGGCTACATGCATGCAAATTAAGTCACGGCCTCTGTGGGTGTGGCCTGCAGTTGGAGAAGCCCCCCATGATTCCAGTGTCAGCCCTGTCTGGCAGCTGCAGCCCCTGAGGCTCTCTGCTGGCTGTGTGGCTCTCTGATCAGCAGCACTGGCGTACTGGGAGCTCCTGAAGTGTGGAGCTCAGTCCCCACCCAGGCCTCCTGAATCAGGATCTGAGTTTAACAAGGTCCCCAGGTGATCCGCATGCACTTGAAAGTGTGAGAAGCCTTGCTCTAGAACAGGCATCCTCGAACTACTGCCCGCGGGCCACATGCGGGTGTTTTTGCCTGTTTGTTTTTTTACTTCAAAATAAGATATGTGCAGTGTGCATAGGAATTTGTTCATAGTTTTTGTAAACTACAGTCCGGCCCTCCAGCGGTCTAAGGGACAGTGAACTGGCCCCCTGTTTAAAAAGTTTGAGGACCCCTGCTCTAGAACGTACCTGCCACTTTGTCATGGAAGTGTTGGTAGGCTAAGGAAAATGCCTTTCCACAATGTAACCAAAAGAAGGAAAGTTTATTTGAAACTCACATTTACTACAAGTTACAAAATTGAGCATTGAGTTGTTAACAAGGATTCCATTCTTCCCCCACTCATTTTTTGGTTCACATAAAATACATCACAGATAGGATTAGGGCTCTTGGGACAGTTCAGATTCTGTCAGAGTAGCATCTTTTGTGGCATTCATTTCTCCATACTTCACCATGATTGTTCCTAAAATTGTCAGACAGCAGGCCATCTGGATTGACTTATCAAATCAGCCCCAACCCAGCCCTGTTCAGTGGTTTGTCTACATCATTTCCTGAGAGTGCCTGCTAATGCTCTCCTGTGGGCAAGCGTCAGGGTTCGGCCGACACTGATGTGTGCACGCCTTGGGTTGGGGATACAGACACGCAGCAAATGTGCTCCCTGCTGTCAGGGAGCTTGTACCAGAGCTACACTGAGTCACATGGGGTCAGAGCTGAAAGAGGTCTTAGAGCAGATGTATCAAGACTAACCCTCTCTTTTTACAGATAAGCTAAACAAGTCCTCCAGTGAGGCAGGGCCTTACCTGGGGTTGCACACTGGTGTGACTTCAGTCTGGTCCGAGTGCTTTCAATTTAAAATGCTACTTGGCTACTGGAAGGTGGTCAGATCTTTGTATTTCTTTCTGTACCTCCCCACACGCTGCTGCAGTCCTTCATCTTCCCCTCCCTGTGCCCGGCATGGCAGATGGTCAGGAGTCCAAAGCAAATGTGGGCAGAGGTATAAAAGACCCCCAGAAGCTGCCCCCAGAACCAGAACCAGAACGAGTTCCCCTTTGAGTGAAATGTCAGGATTTGCCTCTAGGCTGACTCACCAGCCACCTCAGGAGAAGGAAGCACAGGCGCTAGCCTGGTGGAACCATTCCTGGCTCCCTGAGGGTCCCCTGCACACCTCCTAACTTGTGGCACTTCTCTAAGCAGGGCCAGCCACTTTTCTCTTTCCACGTGGATAATGTTTCTACCTCCTCTCATTTTCCAAACAGTCTGAGGTCACACCACCAAGCGTCATTCACTTCAGCAGGATTTGAGTTCTGTGTTCAAGTGGTGGCCAAAATCAACAAAGCCACTTTTCCTGTTTATTGCTCTGACTGAGGTTGAGGGTGACTTATAGGAGGGGGACTGTGATGCCTTCCTGGTCCCCAGGGGATGGGTAACCAGGAGCTCTCAGGGGCTCTCTCTCCCTTGGGGCCCCAGCCTGGGATTGCTCAGTCTTTCTTTCTTTTTCTGGTTTTCTCCAAATGAGCAAATCCACAGAAAGGAAATGTCGGCTCTCAGTCTTCTGTGGAGTTGTGAGGTGTTCATTTGCATTTAAAAGTCTAGGCCAGGCGCAGTGGCTTGTGCCTGTAATCCTAGCACTCTGGGAGGCTGAGGCAGGAGGATTGCTTGAGGTCAGGAGTTTGAGACCAGCCTGAGCAAGAGTGAGACCTCGTCTCTTCTAAAAATAGAAACATTAGCCAGGTGTGGTGGTGTGCATCTGTAATCCCACCTACAAGAAAGGCTGAGGCAGGAGGATCACTTGAGCCCAGGAGTTTGAGGTTGCTGTGAGCTAGGCTGACGTCATGGCATTCTAGCCCAGGTGACAGAGTAAGACTCTGACTCAAAAAATAAATAAATAAATAAATAAATAAAAATGAAAAGTCTAACTGAAGGCCAGCTACTGTACAGGGAAAGCAGGTGTCTCCTAGTCATGGGGTGTTGAGAATCTTGCACCCGCCCTTATTTGTCTTATTAACAAGGCACTTCCATCATTGAAAAGCCTTACTGCACTGTAGCCATCTTCCCACCTCAAACCTTATACCCCCTTAGAGTAAAGGGGTTTTCATGTCCACACAAAAGTCATTTGGACCAGAAATCAAGAAGCCTGGATCCTGGTCCCAGCTTTGTCATCACTAGCATTTCCCCCTGTGGGTCTCAGGGTCCTGACATATAAAACAAGAGGTTGAGGAGGGGGAGGTGGACCAGGGAGCGTTGAAGTTTCCTTATAATCTTAAAACCCCAGTAATCTCTTGAATAGATAGGATAGTAATGGACTCCACGATAAAAGGAAGGAGGGATTGGGGTGGGGGCTATTTTCAGAATGAGAACAGGATGTTTTGGAGAGGTTCAGGCCTCTCTGCAACACGAACTGGAGGTCTGGTCCCCACTTCCAGGCCTGCAGGAGCCAGTGTTTGTTCTCTGCAGTCACTCCATGAGCTGGGATCTAGGAGGTCAAAGATTGCACACAGTGGGGGCACCGAGTACATCTGCGCTCTGCGGGAGGCACAGGATGGACTTGAGGCTTTGCTGTACATTTCCTGTCTCCAGCTTGTTTATCAGCGCTTTTTCTGAGTGTGCAGTTTTTCTGCATGTGTCAGTCAGTATTAAAAAAATAGAGGGCAGATACCTTCCTTTCCATGGAGTTCATGTTCTGATGGGAGGGAAGTTCCACATCCACTGAAAGTGTATTGAACCCTTTGTTCTTGCTTCATCAAATATTTATTGAGCACCTGCTATGTGCTCAATAGCAATAGGTTCCCCCACCCCCTACCCCAAGATACTTACTCAGGGAGATTGACAGGTGAAGGCTGTGGCAGGACAATAGGCAGCACCTTGGGGAAGAGGGCTGGGGCACAGGTGATCCAGACCTAAAGACGGAGGAAGGCTTCCAAGTAGAGGTGATACACAGTCTTGAGGGCTGAGTTGAAGTTAGCTAGGCCAAGAGTCAGGGTCCAGTGCTCCAGGCAGAGTAGCATGAGAAGAGAGAGAAGTATTTCCATATGGCTTTGGGCTTGACTTAAATTAAGATGTATCCTTCCAGCCAGAGTTTACAGTCAAGAGAAAGACAGTGGCCCTAATGCAGGACATACAGTGGGCAGTCCCCTCAGAGAGGAACAGACATAGCACTGGGAGTGTACAGAGGAGAGGGGTGGAGGGAGTCCTGGCTAGGGGAGCAGCAAATTTGGATTGAGCCTTGAAGGATAGATGGGTCAGATGGAAAATGCCAAGAAAGTAGGGACAGGCCAGTCTTTAGGGCCCATAATAAGCAAATCTCAGAGTATAGCGAGCCCCATCACACACACACTCTCTGTAGAGGATAAAACTGGAAAGGTAGGTTAAAGCCAGAGGTAGGTTGAGTACTAGGTTTTGAAGCTTGGTCTTGATTTGGTAAGGAAGTGGGGAGCCAATAAAGCCTTCTAAGCAGAGGAATAGATGTTTAGGATTGAAATATGTTGCTTGAGTCTGGGGAGGGAGGAGATTAATATTGGGAACATGGTAGTCATGTAGTTTATTTGACAATAAATCATAGTTCCATGGGAAGAAAATGGTCCTTTCTCAAATTCCCTGACCCCTAAGGTAAAAAAAAAAAAGGTTTTTTTCGATCCTTAGTTTATCAGTAACAAATCTAGAGAGTTCCATTTGTTCACAACTATTTTCTTGTTCCTAAAATAATGTATGGCACATAGTAGCATACAGTAAATATTGTTGAATAATGATTTTGTGGTGAATTATGAGTCACGGTTAGTTTTGAACAACTGTCCTTGCAGTCTCCTGGAATGACATTGTATGCATTAGAAAATTATTTTTCATGGTCTTTCTCAAAGTTGATATGAATAATTTTCACTTAATTTCCTTTTAAGTTTATCTATGTTGAAGTTATTATATTTGGGAAATACTAAAAACACTTTAGGCCGGGTGCGGTGGCTCATGCCTGTAATCCTAGCACTCTGGGAGGCTGATGCAGGCAGATGGTTCAAAGTCAGGAGTTCGAAACCAGCAAGAGCAAGACGCTGTCTCTACTAAAAATAGAAATTAATCGGCCAACTAAAAATATATAGAAAATTAGCCGAGCATGGTGGCACATACCTGCAGTCCCAGCTACTTGCAAGGCTGAGGAGTTTGAGGTTGCTGTGAGCTAGGCTGATGCCACGGCACTCTAGCCCAGAGAACAGAGTGAGACTCTGTCTCAAAAACAAACAAACAAACAAACAAACAAACAAACAAAAAACCACTTTATATTGGCACTAATTATAGTGGAGGTATAGGGTTCTTAGTGTTGACAATGAAAATTTATAGTTTCTGTTATACCCAGTCCCTCCAAATGGTTTGTCACATGTTGGGGTAGTTAGAACAAGGGTGAATGGAGCCAGTTTTGTATTTGGTCATTACATACTTTCTACTGAGCAGAAACCAAAGACACTTTACATATTCAATCAGTAAACAAGTAGCTAGTAAATTGTTTTCTTCTCCAAATCTCTTAACTCAAATTGTACGATAAAATATATAAAAATGATACTGTTTGCCAAGCTCTTGGGATGGTAATTTTAAACAAGGTCATTTTGACATATGTAGAACATTTCTACTGAATCTCTTATGCCTCACTAGTCTGCCTGGAATGTAATTAATGCTAGGCAGAAGTGAAATTCCACAGTGCGTTTGGAGGGTTGCTGTTTGCTTTCAAGGATCTGGAGTAGCTTCATTTACTTCCTGCGTTGAGGGGAAATAGCAAATTACAGATGTTGCTTTTTACAGGAAATGTAAAAGTAGTTATTCTGATAATTTCTTAATACAGTGACATTAAAGAACTTCCTCTTCTTGTTGTTGTCTTAAAAAGGGGAAATGTTCTCATAATAAATGAACACAAAAAGAAGGATGGATTTTTTTTCCAGTAAATAGGCACTCAGTGATTTCCCATAATAGATACATGTTGTTGCTGTACACTGGCTTTTATTTCCAATATGTGTTTAAGGATAATCATTTTTTTGTTGGTAAAAGCTATAATTCCATGAAGAATGAAGATGGGTTGGTTAAATATCATTTGGAACGACGTTAAATGCTGAATTCAGAATGTGTTTTGAGTTCTGGGCTTGGGTTGTAGTGTGGAGCATATATTGAATTCTTGGCTTTGACCAGTTAGTATACATATTTTAGATTTTCTAGTTTAACAAAATATATTTTTCACATTATTAATAATTATGCTTTTTAAAATATACTTTTAATTTTGGAATAATTTTAGATTTACTTAGAAGTTGGAATGATAGTACAGAGAGTTTCCATATACTTTTCACCCAATTTCCCCTAATGTTAACATCTTATATAACCATGGTACATTTATCAAAACTAAGAAATTAATATTAACATGTTACTAATAACTACAGGCTTTATTCAGATATTTACCAGTTTTTCTACTAACGTGCTTTTTCTAGTCCACGATCCAATCTAAAATCCCACATTGCTTTTAGTTTGTGTTCATATATATATATACACACACACACATATATAGTAATTAAGTTTTTTAAGAAGGTAATAGACTATAAGGATTTCATTTACAAGAATAATATTTTAAGCATATGGTTGTTTCCTGATATGTTTGACTAATGAGTTTCTAAAATGTCATTGCAGAGATTGCCTTACAACAGGTTTCCATGTTCTTCCGATCAGAACCAAAGTGGGAGGTGGTAGAACCATTGAAAGACATAGGTGAGAAACTGGCGTGCTCATTCTGTTAAAAAGACAGATCACAGAACTGGATTCTTAGTCATGCTTTCTAATATGTATCCCAAGAACACTCTTGAATCCAGGTGACTTCTTTTTCTTTTTGCCTCCCTACTGCTTGAAGATACCATCCTTAACTTTTAATACTTAATGAATCCTGGTTAAAGGATCAGAGGATTTGGATAGTAGTAACTTTCAGAACTACCATTCATTCCTCATTTATCTTTTTTTACTAAATCCAAATTGAAGTGCTGTTTTCCTACTATTTCCATGAATATAGTAATTTCTTTATTTTTTTTTAGTGTAACTTTATTGTTTTTTTAGTGTAACTTTTCCTATGCCCACATTATCAAATGGTTCTTTTATTGGTGCCTACATAGCTGTGGATAATACTGCCAAACTTAATTTTTATTTACTTAATGAAATATATCAATTATTGCAAAATTATGCAGCTATTAACACATTTCTGCTTCTATGGCAGGTTGGAGGATAAGGAAGAAATACTTCTTGATGAAGATTAAAAATCAGCCAAAGGAACGGCTAGTGTTAAGCTGGGTAAGCTAGTTTTTTTTGTTTGTTTTTTGTTTTTCCTTCAGTCTTATTTTAGGGGCTTTAGATGGGTTAATGGATGCAGATTTGACAGAAGAAGGACAAAATTGTACTGTGCTATTAAGTGATGATGTAAAGGCTTCCTTGGTCTCACATCAAAGGAGAGTCATTTTAAGTCACTTTGCTATGCATTGGATTATATAGATGTAATTATATTTGGTCAATGACTAAACATTTGGAAAGAAATAGTAATAGGTTAAAATAGATCCTGGAATCTCTTTAGGGTTGACAGTTTTGGAGTTTACCTCCAAAAAATACTTGAGCATTACTTTATCTCTTTATTTTGGGAATTTTAGTGATATATTTGGTTAATGGAATTAGATAAGATTATAGTTAAGTCCTAGTATTTTTATATACTACTCTCCAGAAAGGTCTTGAGGCAGCACAACTTGGTGTGATTTTCATCTTTGGTTTACAGTCATTTATTTGGACAAATAAAGAGAAAGACTCATAAGGAATTTTCCTTTTGATGACCAAGGCAGTACCCTGAATTATTTCCTCCCATGTTTTCAGGCTGACCTTGGCCCGGACAAGTATTTGTCGGATAAAGATTTTCAGTGTCTAATCAAACTTCTTCCTTCCTGTTTGGTGAGTACAAGTCCTTCTATTATTGTCAGTGATGATCACAGATATGCAATGTTTTTTGTGTGTAAACATGGACAGAAGAGCTGGAAATACTATGTAGCCTAAGACAATAGAAAGGTACAGTGCATTTCAGTTCAGACTGAAATTGTGCAGAGCTACTTCCTTAGATCACAGGCCATTTGAAATGGCATTCATGACACCTGCACAATCCATGAAACGTGGTAACTTAAATATAGCCTTTATATTTTAAGCAAATATCTGAGTAAGAAAGCAGCCACTTCTCTGAGCCTCTTGTTCTTGGTGAGGGTGTTTATATCAGTGGAACTGAAAGATCTGTTTCTATCCTGAGAAAACAGAATTCATAAGGATGTGCATAAGCTGAATGAGGGAAAGGCAAAATAGCCATTTTGCTGCCTGAGTTACTACTCTCACAGGCTAACTAGTTGGCCTTTCAGAGTACATGTCATTATTTATGCTAATACACAATTTGTATCCAGGGCCCTCAGTGGAAAGAACCACACTGATATATTTCAAAATATGTGCACATTGTTTTCAGCAAAGACTAATCTGGCCAGGAAATTGAATTTGTGTTGATCTTCTTTATCTTGCCTGCATGAGGATGTAGGTTCCTAGACTGAGGCACTCATGGACTGAGCACAATTATGCTGACTTGTCCACTTAGGTTGGCGGGTTCATCTTTGAAGATATAGTGTCTTGTCAAACTAGCAAAACTAAGCTTTTAATGAGGTGTAATGTGTGGCCAAGAAAAATGCTACAAACTTCAAGTTTGATTGGGTATGTGACACAGGATGTCAGCACCCAGTTATAAATTTCCTCTTTTCTTTTCTTTTCTTTTCTTTTCTTTTCTTTTCTTTTCTTTTCTTTTCTTTTCTTTTCTTTTCTTTTCTTTTCTTTTCTTTTCTTTCTTTTCAGAGACAGGGTCTAGCTCTGTTGCACAGGCTAGAGTACAGTGACGTGATCATACCTCACTGCAACTTGGAACACCTGGGCTTAGGTGATCCTCCCTGCTCAGCCTCCCAAATAGCTGGGAGTATAGGCATGCACCACCACATCCAGCTAATTTTTAAATTTTTTGTAGAGACAGGGTCTCATTATGTTGCCCAGGCTAGTCTCAAACTCCTGGCCTCGAGTGATCCTCCTTCCTTAGCCTCCCAAAGTGCTAGGATTATAGGCATGAGCCACCATGCCCAGCTAAATTTCTTTTAATGAATATGCTTTATTTAAAAAAAGATGAGATAGCCAGGTGCAATGGCATGCACCTGTAATCCCAGCTACTTGGGAGTCTGAAGGAGGATCACTTGATCCCAGGAGTTCAAGACCAGCCAGAGCAACATAGTGAGACCCCATCTCTAGTAAAACAATAAAAAAAAAAAAAGATAGGGCATACATGTGGTGCATATTAATTGTAGAAAAGTCAGAAGACACAAATAACCAAAAATAAGAAAATAAAACTCACCTATAATCCCAATCAACCAGAAGTATGAACCAAAATGTTGAGTTGTTACTTTTCTAGAATTTTTATGGTTTTTTTGAAAATTGTTACATACATAGTGTTTTAAAATCTGATTTTTTTTTATTAATGGTATACCGTGAGTATCTTTAGTTGTCAATAAATATAGTAACATATCATTATCACTGGCTGCATAGAATTATCATTGGCTTTGCCGGGCACTGTGTCTCATGCTGAAAGGATCCCTTGAGGCTAGGAGTTTGAGACCAGCCTAAGCAACATAGCAAGACCCTGTCTCTACAAAAAATAGAAAAATTAGCCAAGCATGGTGGCATGTACCTGTAGTACCAGCTACTTGGGAAGCTGAGGCAGGAGGATTGCTTGAGCCCAGGAGTTTGATGTTACAGTGAGCTATGATGATGCCACTGCATTCTACCCCAGGTGACAGAGTGAGAACTTACCTCAAAAGAAAAAAAAAAGAATTATCATCGGCTGTACTTTAGTTTACTCAGTTAATCTTCTGCTAGACATCTGGATCACCCTGCTTTTTGCTGTTATTTAAAAAAAGAAAATAAAAGCCATAGTGAACAATTTTAGCTAAACATTTGTACCTATCCTTAATTATTTTCTTAAGATACTTGGAATTACTTAATAAGTAATGTGTAGGGAAATATTTTGAGACTACATAAATATCCTGTTCTTTATCACAGTTTTAGCATTCAATGTGATATTCTAACTCTATCATTCTTTCTGGGGTTTTTTTTGAGGCAGAGTTTCACTCTGTCGCCCTGGTTATAGTGCAGTGGTGTCATCAGCCTAGCTCACAGCAACCTCAAACTCCTGAGCTCAAGCGATCCTCCTAGCTCAGCCTCCTCCTGGAACTACAGGTGCACACCACCACAACCAGCTAATTTTTCTGTTTTTTATAGAGACAGGGTCTCACTCTTGCTCAGGCTGGTCTTGAACTCCTGACCCCAAGCAATCCTCCCAAGCAATCCTCCCAGCTCAGCCTCCCAGAGTGCTAGGATTATAAGTGGGAGCCTCCTTGCCCGACCTCCTTCTGTATTTATTAGTTGGCATTCTACCATAAAGAAGAGCTTCTATTCTCCCCTCTTTATGTATTTATATCAGTATGGACTCAAGCACTTTTATTTTACTCATTGAGTTTCTTTTGGAGGTGATGAAAATGTTCTATAATTAGATTGTGTGATGGTTGCATAACTGTGTGAATATACTGAAACCCATTGAATTGTAAGCTATAAATGGGCAAATTATAATGATATGTGAATTATATCTCAGTAAAGCTGTTAAAAAGCAGCAACCATTTTGATGTGATGATCAGGAGAAACTTCATGATCGATTACTCTATTTTCCTGGGTATACCCTTCCACCCCTCAACCCACTCCCTGCCAGCCCTCAAGATCCCTGCATGGCTTAAGCTGCTGTGGGTTCAAATTTTCATGATAACCCCTTTGTGCTAATGAGCATTGAAATACCTGTCTGGAGCCAGTGTGTTTAATGTAATCAAAATTCTAGTAACAGGTCATATGGGTACTTCCCTTTTAGTCATTAATTTGTCTTTTCCCTGCTCCACTTGGTTGACATCAGTATCCCCATCTGAGAAGGACTAACTGTGAATCATCATATTGCAGACTTCTGTAGAAGGGCAGGAAGATTCATGCCAGCTGCTTTGGAAAAGGGCTGAGATGCCAGAAGATGCTACTTTTGCTTGTTTTCTGGCCATCATACTCCCTGGCATGGCACCCAAACAGCAGTGTGGAATGTTAGGCAAAGCTGTGAGCAAAGACACATTTTTCCTGATCTCCACTTGCCTGTTCTGAGGTTTAACTGTATTCTTTACTGATTTGCAGAGGCAGAATATTAAAACCGTTATTCACAAAACTCAGGCTTTTTCTCTCTTCCACCACACTTTTGCCTAACTCTGAGATGCACACACACCAAAGCAGATGCTTTACATACAGAGCTTACCAGGTCAGTTACCCACTTCCTTTTGTCACCACAGTTAATGCCCCTTCCTCCATCGGAAGAAGGAGCAAGTAGCTGATCATCTCACAACTTGAAAATGCCATGTGTTCAGGGAATAGCCCCACATTTGTATGCAACTAAAAGGTTATACTTGACCCTGCATAACTAGACTCTGGATCTAAAAAGACCTAGATCCTAATGCAACTCAATGTGAATTTCTTTTTTGTTTTGGCAGCACCCTTACATCTATCGGGTTACCTTTGCCACAGCTAATGAATCCTCAGCATTGCTAATTAGGACGTTTAATGAAAAAGGAACTTTGAAGGATCTGATCTACAAGGTACTTGTGGTGCAAGTTCATGGTAATAAAGAAGTTCTCAAGTCCCTTTAGAACCTTAATACCTAAGGTTCCAGACACCCTGAGGATTTTATTTTAATTTTTATTTCATTTGGAATTTATTTTTATTCTATTAATAGTAAAAACTCTACCCAGTTTGGTTAAAGAGCATTCCTCTCCAGGGAAGGCTGAACATTTAATGAGTATATTCATTACATTATAGGCTGCTGTCTTAGGTCAATTTTAAAGTTTGTATCTTACACTTAAGAAAGCAATACTGAAGAATTCTAGCACCATGCAAGACTTTGGGGTCTGCTAAGGCCAAGACTAGCCACATCTTCACTGGGCTAGAGAAGGGATGGAACCCAGGTCAGCCTCTTTCTATCAACTACACAAACCGTTGTATTTTAAAAACCCATATCCTTCAGGCTGGCCATCTCTGGTGCCCCCAGCCTTTATAAAGTCTTGCCTCTTCTTTTCCAAAGGCAAAACCAAAAGACCCATTTTTAAAGAAGTACTGCAACCCTAAGAAGATTCAGGGCCTTGAACTCCAGCAAATAAAAACATACGGACGACAAATATTAGAGGTAAGAAGTATTTTTATTTAAGTTGCATTAGAATTTCATCCAAAATCATATTATGCTTTAGGAAAAGCTCTCAGGCAATATCCAAAATGGCTTAAGTTGTCTGATTACTTATAAACTGATGGCATTGTCATATTTTACTCCAACAAGCAAGTATTGAGATTAAGGTAACAGTAATTTAGATCTACAATATTCCAAGAGATTTAGCTATTGGAATTTAGTGTCTGAGTTTAAGAACTTTATTGTGTGGATATCAGCTTTTGTATTATTTTTGGTTGATCTTTATCTTTGTGCCTAGGTTTTTATTTTGTTATGTCATATACATACCCATACGGCTCCCTTACAGAAGCGTGGCCAGCAGTGAGCGCCTTTCCCACGTCACCCTCTAGATAGCACTCTCCAGGCTTCTGGGATTGTGCAGCCTCATCAGTAATAGCCAACTTAAGCCTAATCCCCCATGCTATATGTATATTTAACTACAAATTATATGCATGTACAACTACTAATATTATTTTGAACATTTTAAGTTTAAAAAGAATAAGATTTTTTTAAAAGCAACAACTAAAAAGAGAAGTTGTAATACTTTCTTCCAGTCCTTGGTGGGTTTCCCTGGGCTGGCACTGCGCTAGCTCACCAGGCCTTTATAAGGCTGGATTCAGCCATCTCTATTACTGGGTGAGCCACTGTTTATTTAAATGGCAGCTGAAAAGTTTGCCTCTTTTTGTGGGAGCTTGTTGTGTGTTTCTGTTAATCAACAGCTAAATATATTCTGAAGAGAAATTGGACTAGAGATATTTTTAACTCAACTCTTTTTTCTGAAAGACTGGCCGAAGCTGATATGATAGCTTTACTCATCTGTTCAGGAGGATCAAGACTTTTCCCTGAAGAGAGCCGGCCTACTGGGATCAGGAAGTGCTTAAAGCAGAGCCTTTTGTCATCAAAGCCATTGACTCTAAGCAGACAAAGGCTGCTTTTCTCTGTTCTTTGGAAAAGAAGGAGCTTGTTGTTGTCTCACAGCCTCAGCTGGAAAGCATTCAGCTTCACTTCCTTTTCCAAAGAAATGGGTGTAGGTGGCATTTTTCTTCAGGGATCTCCCCAGTGATCTGTTTGATTTCGTTTCAAAATATATTGACTAGAAAAACAAAGTTTAACTTGTCTTGTATCTGAGTGAGTTGGCAGGAAAATATAACCTATACATTTTTTTAACAGGTGCTAAAGTTTCTTCATGATAAGGGCTTCCCTTATGGGCATCTTCATGCCTCCAATGTGATGCTAGATGGTGACACGTGCCGGCTGCTAGACCTTGAGAATTCCTTATTGGGCCTTCCATCCTTCTACCGATCTTATTTCTCACAATTCAGGAAAATCAATGTAAGTTGCTAAAGTAATGAAGCAGCAGATTCACTGCTGGGTATAAGTTATCCCCGTGGCAGGCCCATGCCCATGCAGGAAACAGGCACTGAGCTGTGAAAGGTACAGCGGGGGTAGGCTTTGCCCCTTTCCCCTGTGTGCCCCATGGAGCACCACTGTGGTTCTCAGAGGCTAAGTTTGAAATCGTGGGCGGGGTAAGGAGGAGAGTAGAAGCACTGATTGAAAACCTTGGAGGGTAGGACCAAGACCTCTGGTCAGAGCAGTACCTTGTGAGCTTTTATAAAAGGCTTTGGAGTTTCATTTTCACCACCAGTTAGGAGTGGAGCTACCCTCAGCCTTATTTCTCAGAGGAAGCCTGGGGCTGGAGCATTGGGATCCACAGAGCCAAACTGAAGAATGAATGTACTGCTGCTCTCTTTCTTCCACAGACGTTGGAAAGTGTGGATGTCCACTGCTTCGGCCACTTACTATATGAAATGACTTATGGACGCCCACCGGACTCAGTGCCTGTAGACTCCTTCCCTCCTGCCCCATCCATGGCTGTGGGTCAGTATGGGACGGGGAGGGTTCTTCTGGGCCCTGGTGGTCTGTAGAGCTACTCACCTCTTTCCGGAGTCCAGGAAAGACCCAGAGAAAGTTGCCATCCTCCCCAGCAGAAATTCTTATCCAACTTAAAAGTGGATAAATTTGAGTAATTTACTTAAATGTACTTCAGTAGAAATTGAGATGGCTTGTCCATTTGTCAGAATATCTGAAATCTTCCAGGAACTTTTTGTAAAGTGCATCAGAATTTTGGAAGCAGGAAGATGTAAAGAGAAGTATGGCCAGTGTGTGTCTGATGCAGAGGCAGAAGCCAGGGCCAAGCAGCTGAAAGCCAATCTTGAGGACACAGGCAGGTATCAGACCAAGGCTGCAGTGAGATTTGCAAGGAACAAGAGAGCCATCGGCAGGAGGCCCAGTAGATAAGAGCCCAGTGAGCCCAGACGTAGGGCAGGCAGACAGAAATGCAGACACCCAAGCAAATTGGGTCCAGAAGCTCTTTCAGCATTAGAGCTGGAGGACAGGTGAGAGGCACCGTTAGGAAGGAGGGACATAGGAACTGGTGCAAACTCATCCAGGGACCCTTTTATTCCCTCAGCTCAGCACTCTTGGCCAGAGCAGGGGGTGGGGGCTAGTAGCCCTTGGGCCACTGTGCCTTGGAGGCATTGAGTCAGACCTCCTCTACCAAGTGTTACTGTGTCAAATGAGGCAGTTCAAGAGAACAGGCTTGGGGACTACTGTGTGTTGCATTTAAACAGCTGAAACTGAACAGTGACCTGTGAGGAGGAAAATCTGGCCGCTTGTTTATAGCACCCAAAATGTTGGATGATGAGATATCATCAATTGGCATTTTGTGTGCTGGTTTTGATTAGTAGCAGGCAAGCAGCAAAATGTCTTTCAAGTTCAGAATTTTACTTCTGTGTAGTGTTTACTTCTCTTTTCAGAGAACAAACACTTTTATGAATGATATCTTGAATCCTTCCTCCAACTACCTTTGAAATGTATCCAGCTTTCTGCCAGCATGTGGTTTCTAAGCCCTTTCTTTTGAGTCATCAGTAGCACCAGTGTTGCCCCCCACCCCACTACGCCATCGTCTGTGTGCGAAGAGCTTTGACACTGTCCTAATCAGCCTGCAGACAGTTACTGCAAAGTGGTATCAAACTTTTCATCAGCAAGTGGATTTGCCAGTGTGTTCTGTGGAACTAAAATGTGTATCTGTTCATTTCAAGTGGCCGTGTTGGAGTCTACGCTGTCTTGTGAAGCCTGTAAAAACGGCATGCCTTCCGCCTCCCGGCTCTTACAGATGCCGTAAGTTAATCACATGCATTGGCTGTAATCTTGATGACTGTGTGGAACACTGGACCACCGTGCCCAGGCACCTGGCACTGTGGTAAAGACTCATTGCAGTCGCCGCAGAGTCAAAGTGACATGGGTGCTCGCAGCATGATATCATGACACTTTCTTTGTGACCTCTCTGCTCTTAGTCTGATTGCTGTCCTTTGACATCAGTGTCATTTTCACATGTGTCTCTCCTCTGTCAGTGTCAGCAGTGTGTGTGTATATATGTGACAGGCCCCAGCTCAGGAAATACCAAAGAAGGGCCCTCCCCAGTATCTCTCTTTTCTGGCCCAGGATCAGCAAGCCAGTTGGCCCCATCTGTGGATAGCTCACAAGTCACGGGGCCTTGGAAGATCTGCCCTCCAGGAAAAGGGCAACATGTTCTGGGCCCCCGTGCTTTTGTTAATTACTCACTGAGTACTATTTATTAAACATCCAGCATATACCAGGCACTATGCTAGGGGCTTAGAGCTCAGAAGACATTTTCTCTTAAACAGGGTTATGAATACTTCATCAAGGCAGTTGAAATAGTGGTTTGGGGCCTTTCCTTTAGGTACATTTTCTATTCCTTCATGAAGAGGCAGCCAGAATGGTTAAGAAGGATGCAGCTGGGGTGGATCCCAGCTTCACACTTCTACCTGGGTGACCTCAGGCAAGGTTCTTAACCTCTGGAAGTGGCATTTCCTGAACTGTAAAACGGGAGTGATGATAATGGTCCCCACCTCAGAAGATGGCAGGATTCGATGAGGTGATTCCTAGGACAGTGCCAGATACTTAAGCAGTACTTATGAAGTGTTAGTTATGCTTAATATTGATTCAGCTTATATTTTTAGAGTATGATGTACCAGGCAATACCCCGTGCTTTGTCCGTACCAGCTTGTTGTGTAGCAGATATACAACAGATATTGGAAACAATAAACAATATATGTGGAAACAAGGTGGGGGCAGCTTGAAGTGCATGCAGTCAGAGTTCAGAGGAGGCAGCGATGCCTTCAGATTCCTCGTTCTTTCTTCCCACAAGTGTTTAGAGAGGTTCTACGAGAGGCCAGGTGCCATTCTCGGCCCTGGGTAGGCTGTGATGACTAGAGGAAACCAAGCCCCTGCCTTGTGGCTATGGCGTTCTAATGTTCAGCAGACACTGGCACATCCATCTCCAGTCCATAAACCATTACTCACAATGTGAATATGGAAAAATAGATCCAGTTTGGAAAACAAAACAAATTTCTCACAAACTTTTAGAACAAAATGCACTTCTATAATAGTTAGAGAATGGCCTGTATGCAGGTTAATTTACTTGAGTTTGCATTTGCACTCCCCACTCCAAAGCTCTCACATTTTTCTCCCAGTCTTCCAGTTCTAAATTGAATCCAAGGCCAGGCACGGTGGCTCCCACCTGTAGTCCTTGCATTTTGGGAGGCCAAGGTGGGAGGATCATTTGGATCCCAGGAGTTTGAGGTTGCAGTGAGCTATGATGATGCCACTGCACTCTAGCCTGGACAACAGAGCAAGACCTTATGTAAATAAAAAGAATTCAAATATTTTTTATTCACCTAAGTCTTTATATCCTGTGGGCTTCAGCCTTGCATAGAACACTTGGAGAAGTGTCAACTACATTCCCTTAAAATGTTCTGTTGTCTGGAAGTAAATGGGCATGTGGCCGAGGGACAGATGGACTCTGGGGAGCACTGTGGGGAAAAGTTGACCCTGTAATTTCTACTTATGTCTTTCAAAAGTGGAATATTCAGCCAGGTGCATTGAGATGTGCCTGTAGTCCCAGTTACTCCAGAGGCTAAAGCAGGAGGCCTCATCCCCCTTTTTTCCAAGACAGGGTCTTGCTATGTTGGCCAGGCTGATCTCAAACTTCTGGGCTTGAGCTATCCTCCCACTTCAGCCTCCCAAGTAGCTAGGATTACAGGTGCACAGCACCATGCCCAACTAATGCTATTATTTTTAATAACATATTTTTGAAGAGAGAATTGATATACTCTAAAAACTGCTATTTTTTAAAATGAAGCATGAGAAACACTTAGAAGAAAATTATTTTCTTCTTAGATTCCAATCAGGACAATTCCTTTCTATTTACTTGAACATTTTTGAGCTCTAGAATAAATTTTGTCCCCTTTTGAGGCAAGAACAAAAGAAGAAAACTAGTTATTCTGTTTAGAAATGTCTACTGCGCACCTAAGAGGACATATAGGAATAACATTTATTGGGTGTTGGGCAGGCGGGAGGGGGGAGGAGGGAATGGATATATACAAACATAATGAGTGAGATGTGCAATGTTTGGAGGATGGTCACGCTTGAACTCTGACTCAAAGTTGGGGGGCATGGGCAATATACATAACCTTAACATTTGTACCCCCATATATGCTGAAATAAGAAAATATAAAAAATAAAAAAATAAAGCCAATAGGAAACAAATAAACAACAATAACAACCAAAAAAAAAAAAAAAGAAAGAACTGTCTACTGTGTATATTATTTGCAATATTTTTGCAAATTATTATTTGTAATATTTTTGCAAATTAGTATTTGCAAAATTATCTTTTTAAAATCTTATATTGCCCAACAGTGGGGAAATCACCTCCAGTACACAGCTGGCCCAGACCCCTGGTAACACAGTGGGGAGGGGGCCACATTGGGAGCCATACAGATTCCTTTGTGTGGTGATAGAGTGAAATGGTGGCTTGGTCTCAGAGGCTTGGGATGTGGGGCAAGGGAGGGAGACCTCATGGGCTAAAGGTGTCTTAATCTGCTTTAATCCTATTTTGAGAGTGCGTGTGACTCAAGAAAGATTTGTTTGTTTGTTTGTTTGTTTTCTTTACAGATTATTCAGTGATGTTTTACTAACTACTTCTGAAAAACCACAGTTTAAGGTAAAGCAAATTATATCACATTTTGGTTTGTGACATAACTAAGTTGACTTTGAAAGTTAGCTTTTTAAATTTTTTTAGCCTAAAAAGGTATATAATAGGGAAAATTTGGAAGTGATATAAATGTCCTAAATTTAATAATTTATAGTATCTATTTGATAAAATATTTTTATCTAATAAAAGTAAAATTTATAAAGACATTATAGTAATATGGAAAACTATTATGATCTGGGCTAAAGTAAAAAGAAAAAAGATAGCAGTTACAACAATATATCTGTATTTATTTATTTTATTGATTTATTTTTTGAGACAGAGTCTCACTCTGTTGCCCGGGCTAGAGTGCCGTGGCATCAGGCTAGCTCACAGCAACCTCAAACTCCTGGGCTCAAGCGATCCTCCTGCCTCAGCCTCCTGAGTAGCTGGAACCTCGGGTGCATGCCACCATGCCCTGCTATTTTTTTCTATTTTTAATAGAGATGGTGTCTCACTCTTGCTTGGGCTGGTCTTGAACTCCTGAGCTCAAGCAATTTTCCCACCTTGGCTTCCCAGAGTGCTAGGATTACAGGTATGAGCCACTGCACCTGGCCTATATCTGTATTTAGAAACAAGATTAGAAGGAAGTCTCCTGGGAAGCAGTGGTGTTGTATGTCACAGAGAATGGGTTTTGGAACCCAAAAAACCAGATTAATGCCTTACTCTGCTCTTAAAGTACTAGCCATTATCTATTGCATGATTAGTCAACCACAGCATTTGACAGTTTGGGCCAGATAATTCTTCGTGCTGGGGTCTAGCCTGTGCAGTATAGGATGCGAAGCAGCATCCCTGACCTCTGCCCCTAGATGCCAGTGATACTCCCTGCCTTCCTTTTCTCACTGTGACAAAAATGTCTCCAGACATTACTAAATGTCCCCCGGGGGTGGTGTACAAAATTGCTTCCAGTTAAGAGCCACCGACAAATAGGCAAGTAATCTTTGAGTTTGTGTGTACTTATGGGCAAAATTGGTGAGTCATGCTTGTCTGCTGTCATTAGACAGCTGCGATCATCTGTGTAAACTTGGTCAGGGCCTGGCTCTCATCAGTGCTCACTGGCAGTGTGATTTGGGTGGGAGGTTGAAGAATAATTCTCTCTCTTTTCTCTATATTCTAAAAGAACATGTAATACTAGTATGATGAAAATAAATTTAGAAAGCAAAACAAAAAGGAAAGCCAAGATGAGGTTAGAAGATTAAATAGGTGAGAGAGATACTTTCTTCTGTCCTATTTGCTTGTCAGAGGAGTTCTGACAATAGTAGCTTCTTTGGATCTGAAGTAGTAAAAAAAATTTATATTCTTTTCTTCCTCACTGAAACTTCTTGGGAAATGTACTCAGCCTCCATGCTGAATTGCCTGCTCAGAGAAGAACAAGTGGGCAACATTTGACAGTGTGTGTGCCCTTTTATACATTTGGGCTTTTGAACCATGTGACTATATTGCTTCCTCAAAACATTTTTAAATTTAGAATTTTTAAAGAATAATAGGCTGGGCACAGTGGCTTACACCTGTAATCCTAGCACTCTGGGAGGCCCAGGTGGGTGGATTGCTCAAGGTCAGGAGTTCGAAACCAGCCTGCCCAAGAGCAAGACGCCGTCTCTACTAAAAATAGAAACAAATTAATTGACCAACTAAAAATATATAGAAAAAATTAGCCGAGCATGGTGGCGCATGCCTGTAGCCCCAGCTACTTGGGAGGCTAAGGCAGAAGGATCTCTTGAGCCTAGGAGTTTGAGGTTGCTGTAAGCTAGGCTGATGCCATGGTACTCTAGCCCGGGCAACAGAGTGAGACTGTCTAAAAAAAATAATAATAAAGGTAAAAGTTCAACATGATCTGGGTGTCTTATTTTCCATGCTGGGACTCCTCATGGTTTGAATAGAAATGGTAGACTGAGAAGTAAACTGAGTCTGGTCTATTGTTACAAGTGTTTCCCAACAGGAAAAAGTTTACTCTTGTGAAATTCAGAACATAAATCTTTCACAGAGAAAGTCCCTCTGAAATTATAAAATATTATTATTATTAGAATTTTTGTGTGTATTCTAATAGGGTTTATGTATTTTTTATTTTTAATTTTGGTAAAAAATCACATAAAATTTATCCTCTTAACCATTTTTAAGTGTACAGTTTAGTGGTTTTAATACCTTCACGTTGTGTGTAACAGATTTCCAGAACTTACAAACTGAAACTCTATACCCATAGAACAATTCCCCATTTCCCCCTCCTCCTGGCTCCTGGTAACCATCATTCTACTTTCTGTGTCCATATTTTGACTGCTCTAGATATCTTATACAAGTATTTGTCCTTCTGTGACTTATTTATTGCATTCAGCATAATGTTCTCAAGGTTTATCCATATTGTAGCATGTGATAGGATTTCCTTCTTTTTTAAGGCTGAATAATATTCCATTGTATGTATGTACCAGATTTTATTTATCCATTCACCTGTTGATGGACACATGGGTTGTTTCCACCTCTTGGCTATTGTGAATAATGCTACAGTGAAGATGAGTGTGTAAATATCTCTTTGTGATCTTGCTTTTAATTCTTTTGAATATATGCCCAGAAGTGGAATTGCTGGATCATACGGTAACTCTATTTTTAGTTTTTTGAGGAACCTCCATACTATTTTCCATAATAGCTGTACCATTTGACATTTCCAACAGCAGTGCACAAATTGGACAAGGGTTCTAATTTCTCCACATCCTTGCCAACACTTGTTATTTTATTTTGATAGTGGCCATCCTAATGCATGTGAGGCAATATCTCATTGTGGTTTTGATTTGCATTCCTCTAATGATTAGAGACATTGAATATCTTTTCATATGATTGTTGGCCATTTGTATATTTTCTTTGGAGAAGTGTCTATTCAGGTCCTTTGCCCATTTTTTAATCGAATAACTTATTTTTTGTTGTTGAGTGTAGGGGTTCTTTTCTATATCTGGATATTAACCTCTTATCAGGGATTATATGATTTGCAAATATTTTGTCCCATTTCTTGGGTTGCCATTTCATTTTGTTGATAGTGTCCTTTGTTGTATAGAAGCTTTAAATTTTGATGAAGTTTAATTTAGTTTTCTTTTATTGCCTATGCTTTTTGGTGTCATATCTAAGAAATCATTACTAAATCCAGTGTCATGAAGCCTTCCTTCTGTGTTAAAATAAAAGGAGTTGTATAGTTTTAGGTCTTAGATTTGGATCTTGAATTCATTTTGAGTTAATTTTTGTATATGGTATAAGGTAAGGTCTAGCTTTATTCTTTTGCATGTGGATATCCAATTTTCCCAGCACTGTTTATTAAATATACTGTCCTTTCTCCAGTATGTGTTCTTGGCATCCTTGTCAAGGATCATTTGATCATATACACAGGGTTTTTTTTTTCTAGGCTCTTGTTCTATTCCACTGGCCTCTGTATCTGTCTTCATGTCAGTACCATGCTGTTTTGATTGCTGTAGCTATGCAATAGGTTTTGAAAACAGAAGCTATGAGGCCTCCAACTTTGTTTTTCTTTTTTAAGATTGTTTTGACAATTCAGAGTCTTTAGAATTATGTGAATTACTTGAAATATATATCATGTTTATTTATATTTTAGTTTAATATGTTCATGGCTAAAAATTGCTAGAGAACTGAGCATATTAGGGATACCAAAAGTGGTGCAGATAGAATTTGAGTGGATAGTTTTAACTGATTTTATTCCAGATGACTTCTTGGTAACCAACTACTCCTTCATTGACTCCAGGACTTGGGAGAATCTCCAGCTACTTTATTCAATGGATTATATACTTTCTCTTCTTTCAGATCCCTACAAAGTTAAAAGAGGCATTGAGAATTGCCAAAGAATGTATAGAAAAGAGACTAACTGAAGAACAGAAACAGGTAAATTGATAATAGTTATTACCTTTTAACCTTATGGTGTTCCCATTCTCTGCCATGATGTTTACAGTGGTTGACTTTTAATGGATTGTTCACACTACAGACATTTTGTGCATACTTACTCTCAGCCAGGCCTGGCCCAGGCTAGATGCTGCACCACAGAGCTGAATACTGTGCAGTCCTGCCCTCAAGGAGCTGAGTCAGTGGGGGAAATAAACATGTTCATCAAAGATGGTCCTGCTTTATGATCAGGGAATGGAGGTGGTTGGGGCATTCATGGTCCTTGCTTTCTCTAACAACACTTGGACCACATTCTTCTTCTGTAATATAAAAGAGAGAAAGGCAGGAAGGGAATTAGGACAATGAGAAAGGTCTTCATCCTCTGGCATACTCTTCACTCAGACATCCAGACCCATGCCAGGAGGTAGACAGGCTGAGCATGGAAAGACTTTTTTTTTTTAATCCAAAATGAAATTGGATTTGGCAAAACATGTTGGAGAAGATTTTCATTGGGAAACTGCCTTACATGAGATATGCTTACATTTGTGATGAACTGTGATCTCTTAAAGATTCACCAGCATCGAAGACTGACAAGAGCTCAGTCACACCATGGATCTGAGGAAGAAAGAAAAAAAAGAAAGATTTTAGCTCGAAAGGTAATAAGCCTGGTGTCTCTATGAATTCTTGACTACATGTGAAGAAAGTTCTAGGTTAATGGTGCATATTTAATCACAGGTTTTGTACTATATCTCCTTGAAAGCTAAAACTATTTGCAGATGACTGGTTTTCAGCTTTTAAAAAAGGGCCATGTAATAATGAGCAGAGAAATGGACCATGTAGTTTCCTGGCTTACTGGGCTGATTATGGCATCATGTAATTGGAGGAAATAATTGGCCTGAGATAGTAAAGTCAGCATTCTTGGTTTTATTTCACCCTTTAGTTTTGCTTTGTGGCTTCTTCCCTGTATTAACTTATAGGCCAACTATGACCTTGTCTGTAGCTAGTTTAACTGTGTGCCTGGAAAATATTTTTATTCTCACTCCAAGCTTCAGTGTATTCAGTCTTTGCTTTCCCCCCTTTTTTATTCTTGAAGAAATCAAAACGATCTGCTGTTGAAAATAGTGAAGAACATTCAGCAAAGTACAACAACTCCAATAATTCAGGTAACTGGTTATAGATTATAGTGGGACCCAGGACCCAGAAGTCAGAATTAGGAGTCTCTGGTTGGTTAAGAGATTCTGGTGGCCAAAGACCAGGCAGTATGGTAATGAATGCAGAGAACAAAAACACTCTGTCTCTAACAAAGGATTGCAGCAGCATTCATGGGCTCACAGGACTCAGGTGCTAGAAGGCACCTCAGAGGTTTTTATGTAGGTCTTTTCTGATGGCAAGACTTGATCAACCAAAGGCACAGAAGCATTAGCCATGGAAGAAAAACCGACCTGACAATGCAAGGCCTCCTGGCTTTTAGTAAAGCCCACGTGAACAGAAATGATCTTAAATCCTGCCCTCTGCTCTAGACCCCACATGGTGGGAGGATGTGCCCTCCCCCGTGGATTAAGGAAAGGACTCAATAGTGTCTGCAGATGGCAAGAAGCACCGTTCCTGAAAGGCCAAGATGGTACAGAGAGTACTGTCTTGAGCTGGTGTCGTCACTGCCGCTCTCAGCTGCCCCTTACCAGCCCTGCTGGCTCTGGGCTTAATGTCCCCATCTTTGGAAACTGGAGCCAGATTGAATAATCCCTGGGGGCCACCCACTTCTTCTAGTTTATGAATCTATGAAGTAGAGTTCCACATAGAGAAGGGAAGGTTTTATTCTAACCCTGGCAGCTTTGGCTTAGTCCTGGAGGGCTAAGGGAAAGGGATATTTTGGGGGATTGAGGGATAGCTGATTATACTTTTAGGCAGAGGAAGGATCTAGCAGAGAAGGAGAATCTGAAGATGCAAAAAGGGAAATGATTGGGGAGCTAGAAAACCAAGGGTTAGCATCAAGAGACCAGCTGTCAGTTTCAGCTTTACAGGAAATCTGTACATCTTCTTTTGGAGACAGGAGAGAAGAGTGGCAGGTGAAAAGGCAGAGATGTTTAGAAGTGGAAGGAAGGGAGGAAACTGAGGGTGTTCAGGAAGAGATGTCTGCCTGGGGCGGGAGGAGAAACTAAGAAGTGCACCAGATGATTAGGCTGCAGCCCTGAGGCCTTGGGCGAGCTGGGGAGAATATAGGTGGTGCGGCCTGAGCTGGAAATTAGTGGAGTTGGAAGGAGAGAAACCATAGACTCCAGAGGGAGGGTGAGAACCATGTTGACACTACTGCAGGGTCCAGGCTGGACAAGGGCTCAGGGAGAGCTACAAAAGAGGAGGGGAAGTCACATGCCCTGGAGGTCCCAATGAGGACCAAGGCATTATCCTCCTTGGGGATAAATGCTGTTATGGCTGGCAGGTCATTTCAGAGTTGAAAGTCTGTTTTTTTCCATGGTTGTTGGGATGGACATGGACCAGTCCTTGTCATCATTAGGCTGAGACTCAGGTCTCCAACCAGCAGTCATTCTGCCCAGCAACTCATTCTTTAGTGAAAAAGCCTTGACTCTGTGCTCGCTACCTTCCTGAGACCCTGTCTGCCTGTAAAGCTCTGTGCCACATGCAGCTAGGTGGAACTTCAATGACTCCAAGACACTTTCATGCCCTCAAGGAGTTCAGAAAAGTGAAGTAGCAGTTGTTGATGGAAATGTACAGATCATTCCCAGACCATACTGGTATCACAAGTTCAAGCTTCTCCCTATTAAAATCTGTTAACACGATAAACAATATGAAAACAGCATGCATTGAATTTTAACTCCTTTTTCAGTAAAACACGTCTCGCATTTTATAGGGAGCTGAGAGAATATTGCAAATAATGGAAAAGTATTAAACTGGAGGGAGGTGTGGTTTAATTAGGACATTTCTCATCATGCCCAGTGACTGAGGCACCAACACGTCCAGTGGGTAGTGAGTGAGGTGATGGCGGGAGGCTTAACCAAAACAGCTAGTGGTGGCTTCTCAGGGGCATGAGATGACAACCCTACCTTTAGGTGCATGTGCTTGACAGCCCAGGAAGCACCACAGTAGGGAGCTTTGATTAACAGGTAACCGTAGGATCTCCCTACTCGGGAGGGGCCTATCACCATAGAAGAGGATTATGTAGGAACCTCCTATTTACATCGGGCCAGGGGGATATTTTCTAGGGATTCTAAGCAATAGGGAGATGCTGAGAACTTGGGAATATTAGAAATATAATAAGGTTACTAGGTCCAGAAAAAGCCTGCAACGTAGGGGATTTTGCACATTGTCCTAATGTAAATAAGGATATTTATTGAATTTCAGGTAAAAAAAAAAAAAAGGCCTGGGAAATCCACAAACTAAATAGCCCGGCCCTATCTAATGGTGAAGGCTTTCTATAGTGAGCTCTTGCTTCTTTGGAGGGCCCCACCAGGCTGCTCTTCGCCTCTCTGTCCCCTGTACCACTTGTGGCCACTGTCATTTTTCATTCCCTAGGGGTGCAGGGTAGGTCAGGAAGAGAGACTGCAGCCAATTGCATAAGCCGTGATTGTGCAAAGCTGCTTCCAAACCAGGCGGGCTGTGGGGAGCAATGGGAGGCCTGACGAAGTGGCCAACCTGCACTGGGGTGAAAGCCTGTCGTCACTGAGTCCAGTCTCTGAATTTTCTGTCCCTTATCGCCTTGTTCCACAAGGCCCACGTGCTAAGCCAAGTGTAGAGTTTCAGACAATCTTGGGCCACATTCCGAATGTCTGCATTTGGTCCCCATGAGGGTGTTTCTCTGTGTCTTGTCTCAGCAGGATCTGGGGCCAGCTCACCTCTCACATCGCCGGCGTCGCCGACTCCCCCCTCTACTTCAGGTTGGTACTGGCGGCAGTGGCCTCCCTCCTCCCCGCGAGGAGCCGCTGTTTCCCTGCCTGCCTGGCCCAGGCACTTCCGGGTCAGACGGCCGCAGCCTTCTGAAGGGAGCCCCTGGGAGTGCCAATCAGTAGTGTCATGGGGAAACAGGTTCTAGATTTCCAAGCGAGGAATGAACCTGGTGTCAGGCCACTGGCCGTCGGCGGGCTCAAGCTGGCCCTGTGCCGCGGCGCCCCGCGGGCGCTCAGCAGAGCCGCGGGCCTGGCGCTCCTCGGGCCAGTTTTGTCCGCCGCAAAGCTGGTGAGACGCCTGGGTGCACGAGTGAAATAACCGCCGAGTTTCTGATTTTCCATAAGTGTTTACACTCTATTCTGCTTTGTAATGCATTTAATTGTCTGGATATTTTTCTGTCATTAGCCTTTGTGAATTAAATCAGATACTATACGTTTTGTTGGAAAAATGTAAAAACAGTTTATCTTGGGGACTATTTATAAAAATAATCTCTAATTTTATGGAGTAGTCTTATAATACTATCTTTCCTTTTTGAACTAAGATCTCTCTCCCAACCATATTGCAAGCCTCATAAAAACACATTGGGGCACCAGTATCTCCTTTTGCTTCTTAAATGAACCAGATGTTCTAGATGTCCAAGGAGCTGGTTCTGCCACTCAAGCTTGCCGGCTGTGCTTGGAAGGCTTCCTACAGCTGTTACAAGGGAGAGTCATTGACAGGGGGTTGACATATCAGTTGACACCATATTTATTAACGCTTAAGGCAGCACCCTGGAGCTACCAAGAGCCTTACTCAACTACTCTCAAATGCTTCTTACTGACCCTCCTAAAAAATTGACACAAGCAAATGCAAGGGGACTAGTTTAGATTACTTACTTCTGGCTAGTGGGTGTCTCTTCTCACTGGCTGAAGGTAGTTACTGGCGGCTTATTGCAGAATGTTCTGAGGCCAGGGCCTGTTTTGAGCAGCAAAGTACTTGGCTCATGAGGATAATATTCTTGTCCCTGTCTGACTTTGTCAGCAGATTTTACAAAAATGCCCCCAAATATTGATCAAGAAGTGACCCGTTTAGGTTGATCAGAAATTTCTGGCAGTCCACACCCCAGACTATGTTGAGCCATTTTCTAGAAGATAGGATATTAATTTAACTCCACTTGGACATATTAAGAGAATTGGAGAAAATTAATGAAAATGTATAAACCTCCTTTAACAAGCGAGGTGTCTATTTAGTGTACCCAGCACCTTGCTGTGTGTGTAGATGTGGCTCTGGGCAGTTAACTGACAGTTCTCATCTTTAAATGCTTTGGGGAATTTACAGTCTATTTGGATTTTTAGGGAGAATTCTCTAATTTACCTGTGCTTTAAGTGGGAGCTTTCTCACGCAGTGGCAAGTTTGCATGAGATGAGGTAATTTATTCTCTCATTTTAGAATGAGAGAATAAAAAGAAGAATCTTTTGTAATTAGCATCAATGTTGGACAAACTTTGTCTGAGGTGAGTGAGAGCAGTAGGGGCATCACTGTGAATTTAGTAGTGCCCACCCTGAAAAGGAGTCTTGAGGATTTAAAGGGAAAAATTGTGAGGCGCCCAGGACAACGCCTGGCAGAGATGAGAGGTTCCGGGCAAACACTGGCTCCTCCTTCCCTTTATCTCCCTTAATGTTGCTGCTGATGAAATTGACTCAGACTGCACTCTGACCTCTGCTGGGTATTTCTTATAAGGCAACTTATAAAAACGATGACTAATACTTAGCACTTGCCTGGCAATCTGGCATTTCAGGCCCTAAACAGGGCACCCACAGAGAGTTTATTCATTCAGGATGTAGTCAGGGTACATTTATCTGGCTTTTTGCTGGTCTTATGTGTCTCACTTTGTCTCTGCACATCGCCCATCTTGCGGTAGGAATCATATTTACTCTAATTTTTATCTTCTAGGCCAAGTTTATGGTTTTTTAAAAAAGCATGCTTTATCTGGGATAAAAGTTAAGGATAGTGTTTTCCAGCCTTATAATGAAATGCAGTTTTCAGAAATGAAGAAGAAGTCTTTACTTTCAAGGACTAGTATTAAAAAAGAAACCCTGCAAAAGATAGCATCTCAACACAACTCAACCTGGGAACCTGTAAGGACAGCACTGTGGGTTGCAGAACCTAAGCTTGAGGGCCATGAATTGCTGGTTCTGGGACCTTGGGCAAGGCACTTGACCTCCCTGTGCTTCAGGTTTGCCATTTATACATGAGGATAATAGCAGTGTCTGCCTTGTCCGGTTATTACGGGAGTTCAGTGAGTTCCATATGTAAGGGGCTTAGGACAGTGCCTGGCACTTAGTAAGCCCTCGGTATGCCGTTAGTTACCAAGTCATTTCCACATTTGGGTTTTGGTTACCTGTAAAGAGCAGAAAGGTGGAAGTTGGAGGCTCTCACAGTTCTAGTGTACTCTAAATCCGCTGTGGACTCTGCCCTGTGGCAGTTTGCTCAGCAGTAGATCAACAGCGATAGAATAGCGTAAGCAAGCTGACTTCTACAGCAGTGCCTTTCTTCCTGAAAGCATCTATTTTAAGCACATTTATGGTAGCTAAAGGTGATCTTAATCTCAGTTTCTTTCAGTATGGGGCAGAAGTAACAGAAGTTTCTAAATAAAGGAGCCTTGCCCTTATGAGCTCTTTCCAGCAGTTGTGTAAGGGCTGGTGCCTCTCCCTCTCCTTATAGCTACTCCCTTTCTTGGGGCCTCTTCTTGAGGTCCTTACAAATTGATGGGACAAATATCATTTCCCTAAGTTTGCTGGCAATTCCATTGGGTGTGGTGGGATTCTCTAATACTTTTTTGCTAAGACACCCTATCTTTTTCAGGGAGAACATTCCTTGCACTTTCTTTTCTGCTAAAGGTTGTTTCCTGCCTCAGAAAGGTCACTCTTTTAAGAAATTTAAAATTCTTTATCCTGACTTATTTCATGGTAAATGTCACCAACTAGTGTTTATACTCTGTATTCATAGGGCTGAGTGGTTTAAAAGATCTCCATTTGCACACACACAAGTATTTCCTCACATCCTCCTTAGAGAGCAGACACACCTGTTGTCTTGCTATCTTTTTTCTTAAAGGGGTTTGCAAAAGAATATTTTAGGAAAGCTAAGTAAGGATATCCTAAATTGTTATAGTTATTTAAAATAATCATAGCCAACATATTTTGAGCACTTATTTTTGTGCCAGGCATTGCTTAAGTGATTTATAGTCATTGTTTTGATTTGATCTTCATGAATACTTTCCTATACTATCCACTGCACATAAACTCTAGCATGGCTCCTCATTACAGATGAAGAAACCGAGACTCAGTAGAGTTAAAAGACTTTGGCCAAGGTCATACAAGTTAGGAGGGTTGCTAGAGCCAGAATTCTAATTTCTCTGTCTTTTGTTCATTTATCCACTGATTTATTGAGTGCCTGCTTTTTGAGGGGTATACTGCTGCTAAACACTGTGCTTGGCTAGTGCAAAAAGAACCCTAAATGTAGAGTCAGTAAACCTGGGCTGGAGTCCTGGCTTCCTCACTCTACTGCTTTCTAACTGTGACTTTGAACAACTAATTTCCATTCTTTGAAGCTGTTTTTAAGAGAATTCCTGCTCTTTATTAGGTAGGTAGTATATATGGCAAGGCTGTATAAGCAGTAAAGTACTACCAAGTATAAGCTATGATTGCCTTACAATCAGAATTCTAACCCTTCTTGCATGAAGTCTATATTTCGAGCAATAATTTTGAGGAGATAGAGCTGGCAGTTTGCAGAAAACCCAGTCCATAATGAGTGGAGAGAAAAAGACGTTTTGAATCTGGAGTGCTGGAGGAGGGAAAACAGTGCCTTGTGGGCACAAAGAATGACTGAGAGCTTAAAAAACAGAAAAGAATGTTAAGAATTAATAAGGAAATTAGAAGATAAGGAGATTTCCAGTAAAAAATAAAAAACGAAAACAAGCAGACTTAATAAGGCACAAAAAAAGAGATTATTTATTTATAGTGTTGGAGCTTCCAGAATTTGCTTAGCCAAATTAAAGTCTGAAACCCATTCCAGGCTCAAAATCGATGTCTAGTCATAAGAATTGCCTGTCTTTCTTATAAGCCACACGCATGCAAAGCAGTGGCCATCTTTGGTGTGAACCAGCCCTGCCCTGCAGTGTGCCTCTGAGGAGCGTCTGCGCTTTTGCCCGCTGCGGCAGGCCCACTCACGTCCCTTCTCCCCCACTCCTGTGCCCAAGCCCCAAGTGTGTGAGTTCTTCCCAGAGTCTGCCCCCACATCCTTGTTTCTTCCAGAGCTGCCCCAGATCTGCGTGGTCGGCCTGCCCAGACCCGTCCCACGTTCAGCCTCTTTCCCAGCCTCTTCCCTGGGGAGAGGTGGTCATTAGGAACTTTCGGATTCACTGTCTGGGAAAGCATGATTCTTCACATTTTACCTAAAATCTAGTCAGTTAAAAAGAAGATAAGAAAGCATTTGCCTTGCTTTCTTTTTAAAAATAGTTTGGTAGCCTTAAGTAAGTTTCACTGCCCAGTTCAGCCTCTAGACCACAGCAGCCTCTGGGGCAGGGGTCCACAGGCTCCTGCTTGGGAGGCCACCCGCCCAGGAACTCTGCCCCAGACCTGCTCTTGCTCTCCCCAATGCTAAAAAGACAAGTCTTGTTGTGCTCTAGAAGCTTGCTTGGGAAAAAGTGGTGAGTTTTTATTTTTCTCCCTTCTTGATGAACTGTCCTTGTTTAATAATAGAACTAAGTATACTCCTTGCCTCCATTCTGCTCTTCAGAGTGGGTAAGACCTTCCTGGCTCTTCTGAAGTGAGTGTTGTACTTGTAAATAAATAAAAATAGCACCGAACTGGCTCAGAAGAAAAAGAATGTGAAGAGGAAAGTGATTCATTGGTTGCTCCATTAGTACATTTGCCGTGTCCTAGAAGGGCACAATAGTGTTTACACTATTAACCAGTACATTTTGTGGTTAATTTAAGTGTATCCCAGTTTTGCAGTGAAAATAATCAGCATGTGATTCAGACTAATATTTTATTGTCTGTTACTGTTTGATTAAATGACACTAAAATTGGAATAATGATTTGTGTCCTCTCTCTCTCTCTCTCTCTCTCTCTCTCTCTCTCTCTCTCTCTCTCTCCTTGCCGTTTTCAGTAGAGCATGCACCATTTTGAACGTGAATTTTCGGTAAAGTAACCTATGCTGATATCTCTAAGTTTAAAGATGCTCTGTTTCTGTATGTGAAATAGAACCCAATATGTCTAAATCACTGAAGTGATAAACAAGTGGGAAAGCAGATTTGAGAATATTTTCTTATCTGAACATTTAAATGAAATACAGCATCTTTAAAAAGGACTCAAGTAACTTCATCTATATTCATTTCATTTTCATCATGACCTTCAAAGTCTTCATTTTCACTCTGATTTTAGTTTTAAAATACAGCTCTAAAGCCTGCAAATCAACTGTATGGCACTTTGATGTATTTTAATTTTGGAAACATGACTCTTGAGGTCCCATTGCTGCATTGCTGCAAAAATGTTTGTTCCTAGTTGCTGTGATGAAGAATTAGGCAGTGAGGTCTTGGTTACAGAGAGACAACTTACTGACTTTTCTACTAATCATGGGGAAACAGTTATTTTTTAAGGATCCTTAATAACTCTCAAGTGGGGACCTGAGTGCAGCCTCCTCATCTGCCTGAGGCAGAAGGCGAAGGTGGCTCCGGAGAGCTGGGGGCTGCCTGTTTCCGAGGGGAGCGAGTAGGCCTGGTGTTGCTCTAGTGTGGTCTGGTGGCCACTTGGCCTCCCCACCTATACGTGTGGACCACAGAGGAACTTGGAGCTATGGAGAGCTGTAGACTGCCCACTGCTAACTGCTAAAATTGGCCTGAGGAGAGGGGACCCTGAGATGTCCTTTCTCCGAGTCTGTCGAGCATGTTCCTGGCATGGCGCTCCTTCCTAGATCTAACCTGTGCCCTGGCCGCAGCAGTCTGTGTCGTCTTTAGGGCCTCTGCTGGATTGCCAGATTCCTGTCTGGTTTGGTGGAGGGGATTTCGAAGGGGGTAGAGTAGTTGACGCTTATGGTTTTTGTCTAAGAAAAATCAGATGGAGAAATCAGGACTGACCTGGTTATAACTGAAGGTAGGCTGTTGTGGAGCCTCCCCCATCCTGGTGTGAGTTCAGTTAGCTGTCAGTCTCACATGGGCTCCGTCTGCTCTTGTGTGTGCACTGCGGATAAGGCCTGTTGGAGGCCTCTTGGCAGGAGGAGCTCACTGGTGTTTTGGAGATGGAGGGAGCTCAGGCATCAGGCGGTTGTTCAGGTTTGTTACAAGCCAAATTGCCAACTTGCATTTGGCCTTTGTTCCCCCTGCCCCCAGCTTCCCTCCATTGTTGCCATCATGTTGTAGCTTAAGCCCCAATCCACCTTTAAAGGAAGCTTGCAGACAATGGAAAAGGCAAAAAGAAAGAGCCAAAGACAGTCAATGGGGCTTGGAATCAGAGAGTGTGAGTCCCAGGTCTGTGTTCCTGCCTCCTCCCGTTTTGACCTTCTGACTCCCAGACCTCCCCTCCCCTTCTAGAGTGTTCTGAGCTGGTAAGTTGGGTTCTGGCCTGCCTTGCCCTGACTGTACACTTTAGGATCCACCAGAGTGAGGAAGAGTGGACCTCCTGGGACATCAGCCCCTGTGACTGGCCCAGCACCTGCGAGCAGACATCAGGGTGGCCTTGCTTTTACCCTGGATGAGCAGCCTGTCCTCCTGCGCAGCCTTCAGCATCCGTGTGCTTCACAGGCACAGGCTGCCCTGTAGGGCTTTAGTAGCTTATTTACATGGCCTCCATTTTCAAAGGGATTTGTTTAAAATAACAATAATTTCACCTTTACTTGGAAAATGAAGATCCATTTACTGAACCCCTTTCCCAACTCCCAAACTCTGGTAGTGAATTTGCACTTTTAATGTTGAGTGCCAGCCAGGCGCAGTGGCTCATGCCTGTAATCCTAGCACTCTGGGAGGCCGAGGCGGGCAGATTGCTCGAGCTCAGGAGTTCGAAACCAGCCTGAGTGAGACCCCATCTCTACTATAAATAGAAATAAATTAATTGGCCAACTAATATATATATACAAAAAATTAGCCAGGCATGGTGGCGCATGCCTGTAGTCCCAGCTACCTGGGAGGCTGAGGCAGGAGGATTGCTTGAGCCCAGGAGATTGAGGTTGCTGTGAGCTAGGCTGACGCCACGGCACTCACTGTAGCCTGGGCAACAAAGTGAGACTCTGTCTCAAAAAAAAAAAAAATTTTTTTTTTGAGTGCCTGCTAATGAAGCCAAAGTCAAGCATTGGTTCTCTCTGAGGGCAAGCAGTTTTGTCCTATGCCAAGATGACAGCCTGTACTCCTGACCCAGCCCCTGAGGCCTGTCTCTAGCCCCCCAGAATTCTCACCTGGAGGGGTAACTGGTCTCTTGATGGCTGAGGCTATGCCTCTAGTAGAACCCCCAAGTACTGCTGCAGCCCAGAGTCTGTCTTCTGTCCTAAACCTTGCAGTGATTCTTCTGCCTTGGGTCAAAGCACAAAGCTGGGAGGCATAAACCCCGCAGCTCCTTCTGAGAGCTGAGCGCTGCATGTCAAGTGCAGATTCTGCGGCCCCTTTCTAGCCATTGGGTGGGAGTGCCTGGGAAAGGGCGTTGACTCACCCCTAAACAGGCAGAGCTCACTTGGCCCTGCAGTCAAGAGACTCAGTTCCAGGGCCTTCAACAGAGGTTTCCCCACCTCCTTGTATTTCACTGGTCACTATGACATCTTTATTCTCCACAGTTTTCTCACCTCAGCACTTACTACAGGCTTACATAAAGCCAAGAACATTTTCCCACAGTCCACTCTAGCATCGAACATGATAGAACTTCATTCAGGAGTTGTTGTGTAGAACCAATGAAAATTCCATTTTGTTCATTTGTCTATATCTACTCTTCATTTGCATTGCTATCTTATTTCAGAATTCCAGGATTGCAGAGCATGAGTATATGTATTTGTGTGATTCTTTAATTTCAGCTGCCTTAGGTTTGGGTAAAGATGTAAAGGAAGGTAAGTGATTTTCTATGAATTGTAAGACATTAGTTACCTGTCATGCTTGGTGAAAATGATGTCCTTATTTGTGTATTTTATTGGTGATCCTGAACCATCATTCATACAAACTCAAGTAGTGAAAGGTATCTTTACCTGTTTCCACCACAGCTCAGTAGCAGTTTGGGGGAAACCACACAGCGGACCATCTCCCTGGTGTAGCCCTGAGAGGGCAGAGACAGCAACAGACAGGTGGAGTCTCAGAGAGCTTCAAGGTTCACAAGAGATGGGGACAACTAACTCTGTGGCATAGGAAAGTTCTTTAAGGCAGAACTTTTTGTGTTCTCAGTGTTTATTTCGTCCTGAGAGAACAATTCATTCATTGACTCAAAATATAAAATAAAAGTTGCAAATGTTTATGTGCCTGAAAACTGAGGGAAGTTTTAGAAACCTGTCAAGTGTTCCTTTCCTTGCCCACTATAGCAGAACTTTCTAGTTTCTCCTGGTGCTTCAGCCAAGATGTATGTTTAGTGCAGTTCTATTCTGTCCCTTGATTGGGCCACGGTGGAAAGAATAGTACTTCAGGAAGACTCCTCCCTAAGAATGCCCTTGCCAGAGAGAGACCCCTGTGCCCCTTGCTTTGCATTGCTAACAATTAATAGCATTTTACAGTTCTTTAATGCAACCTAATAGGAAAGGATTACTGGAGACAGACTCCTCTGGGAAATGCATAACCCAGCAGGCACTGGTTCCTTGCCAAGAATCCTGAGTGGTTTGTTTTTTGTATCAAGTCACATCCTTCAAATATTGTATGTGTTGGAATAGCTAAAGAACTGTTCATCCCTTATGAGTAATTGACATTCAGGTAGCCCAACTCTGTGCATACAGATATCTTATTTTTAATTGCTGGCCCAAAAGTAGATAGAGCTGCCCAGGACCTGACCGATGTAGCTAAGGGATGGAACTCTTCTCTTGGGACCATTACTAAAATTTGGAAATGGGGTCAGAGCCTCATCTGTGCAGACTGTCACTGTGTATGGTTTCACAGAATCTGTAATATTTGTTCCTACAGTCTTTTTTCATATGACTGTTATTTGAGGAAAATGACAACCATTCCCCTTTGATGCTTCTAGCTTTTTGTGTAGTATCTTTAAAAATCCTGCACTACTCAGTGAGGAAAACATTTGAGTCCATTCTCCCCAGGAAGAGCAGTAGCATGTGTGCACGGCAGTTGGAGAGGTGATCACTGACTGCCCCCTCTTGGCCTTTTTCCTCCACAGGGATATCTGCATTACCTCCACCTCCTCCACCTCCACCACCAGCAGCTCCCTTGCCTCCCGCGAGCATGGAGGCGGAGGCGTCTGCCCAGCTCTCACCCCAGGCTGTGAATGGTGTGAGCCGAGGGGCCTTGCTCAGCTCCATCCAGAATTTCCAAAAAGGAACTTTGAGGAAAGCTGAAACCTGTGATCACAGTGCTCCTAAGATTGGCTGAAGCTTCCTGTTTACACTTGGAGGGAAAATATTTTATTTTTTTCCCTACTCACCTCTACCCCTAAAGTATCCTCTTCCTGGGTAAATAATTGCTGAGCCAGTACAACCACATACAGCACTATTTTGCAGATGCTCATATGAGGTTTTTCAAGAGACAAATATTCTTCAAGTAGAATAAAGTTAGGCTAGCATTGCTGCCTTAAGAAATATTTTACTCCTTTATTATCACTGTAAAGGAATTTTATTCATCCTCCAATGGGCATCTTTTTGGGGCAGCAGCATATTGGAATCAATCATTTTCAACTAAAGGAAATGGACAGAAAAACAATGACAACGTTCAGTCACAGCAGTGAATGGCCTTTGTGTTGCAGTCCCTTCTACCCCATCAGACTGCGCCTAGAAATGCCCCTCACAGTTCATTGCTCTAAAGCGTTTTCTGGTTATAGCCTAGATAGCTCCCATTTTTGCTACCTTTATCTTAGACATTAACACTGTAGCCCAAAGCATAGTTCTGTTGCTGAGTCAGAGAAGCAACTGAGTTCTTTACTTTCCCCTCAAGCAGGATGGGGAAATTTCTTAACATTCTCTTAAGTTCTAACAGGAATACCAGTATGATTATAGAACTCAGGGCTGCTAAAACAACTACTTTAGACCTATAGTTCTTTTTAGTTAGAATGTATCGAAACAGACAAAAAAAAAGTTAAAATCAGAAAAAGCTCTTGCCAATTAGAGGACCTTTGTAATCCTCAGCAATTAAGTCAACTTTGGGGCTTGGTGTGGGGGGGGGGAGTCATTATTACAATGTAAGTAAATTTGGCTTCTATAGAAAACAATTCTGACTTTTGAAAGACTTATTTATGAGAAAGATCCTTAATCCTATGATTTGCTTAAACCTTTAAATAAATTGCACTTTAAAGGATTATAAATAATCCATTTAAAAATTGAAGTACACACATCAGTGTTGGTTACTATGCAGAGAGAATGTCATTGTGTATAGTTTCATGTAATCTGTCATAAATGTCAGCCGTATTTTTTATTAAAATAAACCACGTCAAGAAAATGTGTTGTCCGCAGGGTGGTTAGATAGTTCAAATGAGAACTTTTTGTGGCATCTTTTGTAAACATACAGATTCAGTCTCTCTAAAGTTTCCTTCCTACCTATGCTGTTTGTTTTCTGTCTTATTTTCCCTCTTAATAAGAGCTAATAATCCTGTCTTGCTCTTATATACTTCTATAACTAATTTAAACCCATCTTTTCCATCTCAACTTGTGAAGAGAGCAGTGTATGACAGACCATTTTTTGGCAATGGGACAAATACCTGACATAAACTTTGCTTTCATTTTAAAGGGAACCCAATTAGATTTAGGCATTTGGAGAGTATGTGGACAAGTGCCTATCCCGGTGTGATGCAACCTAGGTGATTAGTTCCTGAGGGAGGTTGTGAGGTCTGAGTCCTGCTGAAGTCAGTTTTGCTATTTTGGATAGTTTCAGATATTTCAATAAAAACAGGTAATGGTTTTGTACAGTATCAGCTTTTTTTCCATTTGGCACTAACTTAATAGAATTTCAGGATTTCCCCCCACATTTATTCTTTCAAGAATATAAAAATACAATTGGTCATAGTCAGGAATTCCTTTATTCCTTACCAAAACAATCTAACAGTAAATGATTCTATACTTTCATTTTATACATATAAGTTATCTTGGTTTTGGATATATCTTTCAACAAGACTCTGCTACATTCATATTTTGTCCTTATAGTGAAAGAAAGTAAAATTTTACATTAATCTTACTCAAAGAACATGGCAACTGTAACAGACAAAAAGTAGCATGGAGTCTAGGGCAGAAGAGGAGAATTCTCCACACATATACACATTTAAAACTTCTTCCCAGTACAAAAACATCTGTTGTTGCTTTAGAGATTATTTTCCTTTAAGAATAGTAAGGTCTTGCAGTACTATCCGGGTGAAGTGCCAGCAGATATTTCAAATAAATTTCAATGACTTGATATTCAAATTCAAACTAGATGTTTAATGTTTTCTTTATTGCAAATATGATGTCTTTGACCTGAGGTACAGAGTTGTCTTCTAGAATCTTTGCATAAGGCATAGGGACGTCAGCACCAGTGACACGAACAGCGGGAGCATCCAGGAAATTGAACGCAGGACCTAGGAGAGAAGGCAGGCTTAATTAACAGAGAGGCAAGAAATGCCCTGAATACTACCACCTGGCACAGAGGCGTGTCTGCTCAGCAAGAAAACGTAAGGCAAAGGAATGTTAGTTATGGGGAACTGTTTCTGGTTTTGATTTTTTAAACATTTACCCTAAAGAGACATTCCAAAACGACAAGTTGAAAGGTTCATGTAATCTGGCCACTCCTAGCTTTTAATCTCCTTATCCAGTATGTATTCAGGTACACAATGTTTATTACAGCTTGACTGTATTCTAGAACCAGTTTCTCAGAAATACCTTCCATGATCCTGGCACAGATTTCAGCTCCTACTCCAAACTGTGGCCAGCCCCCTTCCACGGTTATGAGATGATTTGTCTTCATGACACTGGCTTCTATGGTTTCAATGTCCATTGGTCTGATGGTACGCATATTTATCACCTAAACAGATAACATACTAAATCTCAGAGAGCGTTGCATCACAAATGCCTTGTCCCCATAATGCCACTTCCTGTTTTGTTTCTTATTAATCTTTGGGTCTAGGGAAATCTTATCTGCCTATGAACAGTTACATGAATGTTTGAACTGTAAAGGAGAAATTAATTAAAACAAAAAACCTCTATCTCTACTATAAGCAGCTCTGTTCTGATAGGATTCATTTATCCTTATTGGCTTTAACTTCCCTCTTATAAAAATAAATAATAGCTAACATTTGAGTGCTTACTGTGTACCAGACACAACACTAAGTGTAATTCTCACAACCACCCTGTGATAGAACAGTATTATCCCTATTTTATAGCTGCTGAAACTGAGATTTAGAGTACATAACTTGCCCAAGTATAACTAGCAATTGTTAGGTTCTAGATACGAGGCTTAGAATCATTAACTTCTGATTTTTCCCCCAGCTCTAGCTCAAAGGCTGGATCTTAACTTGAGAAAGCAGGTACTATTCTAAAAGATCCAGAACCTAAGTGGTAAAAAGCTAAGTATTAATATTTGAAAAGCAAGCAGTTTCCTAGTTTTAAGCAAAGACAGAAATGCGTGACCAAGCAAGACTTTACATCTAGTTAACTTGTTACAGAACTATTTCTGGGAGCCTATTAAAAGGCGCCTTTCTGATTCTTTAAGAACAAGTTAATGTCCACTCACCTCACATTCAATTCCCTCTTTAGATAGCACCGTTGCAGCTTCCATGCAGTGGCCAACAGGTCTTGAATGGGAAACCACAGTTATATGTGTCCCTGAAACAGAAGTGGTTACAAATCAGAGGTTGAAACTAAAGATGCTCTACCACTCTGCAGCCACCTGTGGCTCTTGTTCATTAATAAAGTCTTCAAGGGGGGGAAATGGGCATTTATTGAAACCTTAAAATCTGTACCCCCATAATATGCCGAAATAAAAAAAAATAAATAAAATAAAATAAAGTCTTCAACTCAACTTCATTCTAGTGAACTGAGGAATGTGGCAGCCTTCCTAGAAACAAAATACAAATCTACTGGAGACTGAGGAAAGCACAACTGAATAAGAAATCAGGGCATCACAAATTCTTAACTTGAGCTCATCCTATAATTTTTTAGTCAAAGTAATTGGCAATAACTCCTAGATTAAATCTGACCAACATAAATAGAGAGGCTGGATTAAAAATAATGTTTAAATGCATGCTAAGTTCTCTCACCTTGTCTTTCTATTTTGGCTTTTCCAATAGGAATGAGAAAATCTTTTGACTGAGCTTCAGCAGGAAATTCAAAAGGAACTCCATACATCAATTCATTCTCTAGCATCACCACTGCAAAATATCATAAATATTTAAACAAAAGTAACCAATTACATCCAGAATGACTAAAAATGTATATATGGCAATATCATTTCCCTTGTGAAAAGTTTCACTGTGCTGATTAGGGAGCCTTGTGTCTCTCATGTCTGGTAGCTGTGAGGATGGTTCAGATAATTACATTTGTAGTTTGGTCAATATAATTTTATCAGTTGAGGTTAAACCAGTGTTGTGGGTGTGCAGTAAATGTCTCCTTTACTTAACCGGCCCCCTTATAGTCAGAAATAAGAAAACAACCACATTCTTTACTATCTTTACTAAATCTATAAAACATTAGCATTTTATGTGCTATGTCTAAGCATAACTAAAAGACTTTAATGGTTCCTACAATGCAAAGATTTCATCTTAGGTTTTTAATCTCCAAAAGAGTCCCAAGGGTCACTCTGCTGACCTGGATTGTTATCCCGAACGGCTGATTTTATAAGTCCTTTGGCATCCTCTGAACTCCAGGGGCTGACCACCTTTAAGCCAGGGCAGTGCCCATACCACGAAGCAAAGCACTGTGAGTGTTGAGCAGCTACACCTGCTGAGGCACCATTGGGCCCCCTGAAGACTATGGGCACAGGCTGAAGGCCCCCTGACATGTAGTAGGTTTTGGCAGCTGAATTTATAACCTGGTCAATGGCTTGCATAGAGAAATTGAAGGTCATAAATTCACAAATGGGCCGCAACCCAGCCTGTCAAATCAAACACATGGATATTACAAAGACTAGAAACAGCAACGAAGAACAGCAAACAACCCCTCCATTCCTCCAACATTCAAAGGTTTTTAAAAGGTTATGTTAAAAGAAATCTCTTTGGATTAGCTTCATAAAAAGTATCACATACCATAGCTGCACCTACAGCAATTCCAGCAAATCCCATCTATAAAGTAGAATACAAATGTAGGTGAAAATCCATAAAAATTAGGACAATGAACACTAACAGATATGCCCCAAGGTTTGCTTCCTGCTAGAAGTCTTACTTCGGATATGGGAGTGTCTATGATCCTCTTATCTCCATATTTCTTCCACAGGCCTCGACTAACCTACAATTAAGAGTTGATCCCATTACTTGTATATCTGGGTCAATAGCCTCCTCAATTTTGTATAACTTTCACACATTTTAGTTACCTTGTATGCCCCATCATACTGGGCAACTTCTTCCCCAAGCAGAAATACCTTCTCATCTCTTTCCAGCTCCTCATCCATACCTTGATTTATAGCATCACGAACTGTCACCTGTCACAGGTATGGGAAAATAATTGATAAATTACAGGATTATTTAGGATTCTATTGAGATTCTTTTCTTTTATACCTAGGCTGCCCATAGCATACAATATAAAACACTAGAATAGGCTTCTCTTTAAAAGTTCAAAGAATTCTAAAAGTAACATTTCCATCACACAGAATCAGTCTTTGATTGGATGTATTGATGATAAGTTTACTGAACACATTACTTGACTTGCATCCAAACTTAAGAAACCTGCTTGCTGGCCAGACTAGTTCGCAGGCAGTTTCCTAAGCAGAAAATACAGAGTTGTTTTAATACCATACTTGGAGTACTATGGGGCAGAGCTACCAAGGACACCTAACTGAAGCACTGATCACTCACTAGGTGGCAGGCACTGCCAAACGCTTTACATGCAGGATGAAGGACTTCTTATCTTAATACCTGGAATGGTGGATCCCTCTAGTTAAAAAAAAAAAAGGGAGTGCATAACCATATGATCCAGCAAGTTCACTTCTAGGTATGTACCCAAAAGAACTGAAAGCTAGGATTCAAACACATATTTGCGCACCAGTGCTCACAGCTGCATCATCCACAAAAACTAAACCCAAATGTCCATCGTTGAATGGATAAATAAAATGTACATACAGTGGAATATTATTCAGCTTTACAAAGGAATCAAATTCTGACACATGCTACAACATGGATGAACCTTGAAGACATTATGCTAAGAGAAATAGGCCAGACATAAAAGGACAAATGATTCCACTTATATGAGGGTTTACCATAGGCAAACTCGCAGCTTATACTTTTGTATAAGAGGTTACCAGGGGAGGGGGAATGAGGAGTT